ATAAAGCGATAGTAATAATGTAATTAAATATAGATAATATATACCTGCAATTCTCTTTTTTAACCTTTCATCAATCTTAACATGTTCTTTTACAGGCTTAATATCTGATATGTCAGACTTAAATTGAATTTCTGAATTTACCCAAGTATCAATATCCTTATTTATTCATAATCTTTATTATATGAATATGACAATTTCTCAATTGAATTATTAAGAAATTCAAAACAATAAAAACAATAAGATCCTAAAAATTGAAAGCAAAATTTATAATAGCTATGCCTACAAATTAGTATTCAATTTTTATTATATACAGTTTATAAAATTACATAATTTATTAACTGCAAGACAATTATTTAAATAATATCTAAGTGGTAAAACTTTAAAAAAAATCAGGATTGAATACCAGAAATAACAAAAATCTTTTTTAGTTTTTATTTCTTCTTTTTTATTTTAGTTTTATTAGGATTTTTTTACAAATTATTAAAAAAATCAAATAAAAAAAATAGCAGATAATTTTACTAGATTTTTAAGTTTTTTTTATATAAGGATAATCATGTTTTAATTTAAATAATAAAATGAATACATTTTTATGTTAACAATGGTCAAGAAATATTATATCTCTTCTTAAAGATTTTTCAACAGTTATATTTGTATTAGTATGGTATTGAAATAAACTGTGAAAATTTTTAATTAGATATTTGTTAAAGGCATTTAAATATATTTTTAAAATATTAATTATTGAATATTTAATTGTTTTTTAATATTGAATATCAGATAAAAAACTAATATAATTTTATTATACTTATGTCTTTGGAATTTTCGCATTATAATTCACAACTGAAATATTGTACTAATATACTCTTCAAAATAATTTTCTCAAAATAAATATATATATACATCCAAAGCAGCAGGAATCAAATTGTCTAATAAATCAAAAAAGGTAATATATGCAATATCTTTAGATTCTTCAAACAATTTAACAATATACCTTTTAATTAAAAGCCAATTTTCATGTGCTAAATACAATAACAAATTAATATGCCATCATCTAGGTTTGGTAGCAAGCTTTTGTTTTTTTAAACACAGTTTTATATAATTGATCAAAAAAAGAATGAAATACAATTATAATTAACTCTCTGTATTAAGAGATACATATAATTGGTCCAAAAAGGTACTAGATAGATAATTTCTTTTAGAATTAGTAATTCTTCAGATTCTAATTTTTTACAATAGCTTTTCATATAAATAATTGTCTAGAAAAATCTGCTAGAAGTAGAATAATATAATTTTTTAGATATTCAATTACTTCTGGCAAGCTTTTAAATTAAATAAATTAGTATATAGCTTTAATTAAAAAATAATTACATATATATTAACCTTAAAAATATTTTAACAGCTTCAATATAATTTTTATCATTCTTTAAATCTAATTCAATACAGTCTATTAATTTGGTTTGATTAAATTTTCTATGCTATCGTTTATCTTGCAAAGAGGCTGGCTCTATTGTTTTTTCATAATACTCATTTTGTAGTACTCAGTAATAAGCTTAATGCTTGGTAGCAGATTTTATTAATTTTGCCAACAATTACTTTACCGACAACTTAATTCATCAATAATTATTTACAGAAAAGCTTATTTTACTAACAAACAAGTTCAGTTTATTTCACCAACAGTTCATTTTACTAACAAAGTAATTTGATTATTGCTTTTAGGATCATATTTAGAATTATAATTAGAGTAGTACAAATTATAAGAAAAACTTGTTAGTAAAATAAGCTGTCAGTAAAAAAAAACTATCTGTATAATGCTTATTGTTATCTGTAAATTAATTATCTATGAAATGAGCTTGTTTGCAAATTAGTTATCAGTAGGATGATACAGACCTCTTGATAGCAGGTTTGTTAGACAAAATATATTGGTAACGTCAGGCTAACTGAAGTAGTAGTACAAAAACCTTATTTTTGCTTTGGGTTTTTGTAACAATTAAGCTTCATAGCTGCAGTGGCCATGCTTTATAAAAAAAGTTTGTATAGTTATTGTAGGTATTGTTCAAAAAAACATTCAGAATAGAGTTGATTTTCCAATACTAGTATGATATTGTACAATTTTTATGCTGTGATATAAATAAAATTTTTGGTTTGATATATTAAATACAAACACTGGTTGAATATATGAAAAACAATTTAGCTAAATATTAATAAATATCAACCTAAAAAAAATCCAAAATCGTCTATACAAAAAATAATCAATCTAATTTCTACTCATTATTCAGCCTCTAATATTTATATAGCAATTCGAAGAGAAATTGATATCTGATTTTAGATTGATTATTGGGAAAATCATATTGGCACAGTAGATTTGTAGAATTGAGAGTCCCTGAATTTAACAATATGTAATAATAATATGCAGAGGTTTGTTTTACAATTATATTGTTGAAATCGATTATCCAGAATATAAAATAATATGATCATTTTTTGTCTTTTGTTTTTTAATCTTTTTTTTTGTTTTTCTTTATTTTTTTTTTATTAGATCAATATAAGTATATATTTATATATACTAGCTTTTTTTCATTTGTTTTTCTTTTACTAATCTGTTTACCTTTTCTTTTTATTATCATTTTCTTGATGATGCTTCTAGTTCTTCATATCATTTTAGTTTCTTGGTATTAGTCTAGTTTTTGATGTTCTGATTTTTTGATATTATTCTAGTTATTTAATATTTTTGTTTTTTATATCGCTCTAATTTCTTGGTATTAGTATAGTTAATGATAGTATCATAATAGTTGTATATAATTATATATTTTTAATAAAAAAATATAAATTAATGTTTAATTTATTATATATTCTTATTTGCGAAAAATTTTTGCAAACTTGCACCAACAAATTTTTTCAATTATAATTTTTCTAACTATAGACTATATCTTTAACTATTGACTATAAATCAGATGCCAATTCTCTTTCAAATTTTTATAAAATATAGGAGGTCAAATTGCATATGTTTGACCTGTAAAACATTGTACAAAATCAGTATATGTTAGAAAAATCGACTTTATTTTAGCATTTTTTTGAATAACTTTATAAAATTTTAAAACATTGCCGCAAAATTTTTATAGGGTGCAAAGACTTTGTTTCATGATAATTAGGCTTCATAGCTACGATGGTAGTGCAAAGACTTTAGTAATTAGTCTTCACGCTTTAGTGGTGGTACAAAAACCTTGTTTTTGTAGTACAAGAACTTTAACAGTTAGGCTCCACAGATGCATGGCTACAGTAATGGTGCAGGAACCTTCGTTAAATAAATTGTAAGCTCTGCATCTAAAACATTAGTTAAAAAACAAATAAGCAGTATCATGTCATATTATAAAATGATTCTCTTTGTAGCTATATAGAAATCTCCTTGATGGCTTTCTCATTATACTTAGAAATTATAGAAAAGTTGAAATTGTGTTATGAGTGCCCAAGAAAAACCTCAAACTGAAAATCTAAGTTTATCATTTATTATGATATAAAGCTTATGAATGACAGTGTACAAGTTCTCATATATTTTTAATCTTATATTAGGTGCGCAATGGAGAATAACAAAAGAATGGTAGTAGTTTTTAGTTATAAAATATGTTAGGCAATTAATAATTTTTTTGAGCTTCGTTAATTTTGATTTCATTTTATTTGCAGTAAAATTTTCAGAGTATATAATATTAATTTTAATATAATTGGCA